AATTTCACCCTGAGTGGGCTAAAACTACTTTCAGAAACTGGGGCATCTCTCGATGGTTCGTTTCACAATAGCCTGAAGTAGCGTTCTACATTTGCATAATAATAGTGTTATGGTTTGTGTCCTTTTGAATACACGCAATTTTGAATTTTACTTTTCCCAATGCAAATGATTTACTGCCTCGGTTATAGAGCTCCCGTTGTTCTTTTATTCTTTTAAACGCAAATTTTATTTAGGTCACTGCTGATATTTCTTTTGAAGTAGTCAAATATTCTTATTTTGTATAAGCAGCCAATGACAACTTTATGAGCTCAAAAATCCGGTCGAAACTACATTTCCGTTTTTTTCTTCGTTAGTCACATGAAACATGTGTGCGGATTATTACTTTACTATCTTCTATGAAATAATATACTTAATTTGATTTGATTATAAAACTGATAATGAACATTGACATTTCAGTAATTCAAACATATTATATATATATCTATTATTGATATGTAAGTATGTATTAGTCATGTGTACAGTCAAACTATTTCGATATTAATGTGAACATTCATTTTTTACCCACTATAAACTACCTCAGAGTAATGAGGGTAAATTTGTTGCTGTTGTCACACCCTCGCCGGGAATCGAACCCGGGACTATTGGCTTTATGTACCTACTGCTCTGTGGGTAAAAAATTGAAAATGAATTTTCACATTAATATTTGATATTAACCACAATTAAATGTCAGCGTTTCATATTTTGATGTTATTGAATTTTCTTCATATAAGTCACATGCAGTTTCCATTCGCTATTAGCCACAACCGTACCTATATGTACATGTATACATGATACCCACGAAATAATTGTCTGCAAGAACAGGAACTTTTATAGCAAAATTTTTAGGATAATTTAAATATATATACTGACGTATAAAAATCGACCTCAATACTTTGCTTATATGCACAAATATAAACGAAGAAGGTGAAAAGAATTGACCGAAACAGCGAGGTTGTGTTTTATTAATTTTTAGAACTATTTTTTTATCAGTATATAAAACACCTTGAAGTAATTTGCTCTTTATATCTGGTAGAGATTATTTTTTTTATCATTTTCTAATTTTCCACCCTTGATGGGGGCGTGAAATATTTTCTTCATTTAAATGGTACCACTTTTGAAACACCTATAACCCTTCCAATAAAGAAATTATCATTAAAGTCATCAAAAAATTCATAAGAGTACAAAAAAAAATACGGATTAAGAACCTAATTACACACGCATTAGCTGTGTGGCCGATCGTTCCGATTTTATTTTAATGACGTATAAACTATGCCAATTGCCACTTCGTGAAAATGTATACTAGTTATACGTATGCGTGTCGTACAACTTCCAATGTCGTGTCGCGCAAGCAGTCCTCACTGCTATTCATGACATGAGAGCGACGGATTATAATATAACTGAATGCCGAGATCAACACTTTCGCATACGGTATAGTTTTTTGACCATCAGTTAGGGTTGCCACCTTTTCAGGATTTACATAAAGTATTTCTCGACTAAATGATTCAAAAAAAAGTACTCAGCATAAAAATAATGTATTTTATTTTTTGTTTTTAAAAACATATTTTTTGTTACACCTAGCAGCCAGTAACAAATTGCTGTCGCTCTTAAATATATTAATAGCCTCTAAACATAGTAAACAAAGATTTAAGTAAACTAAAAGTCCATTTTTAATTAGTTTTAATGAAGCTTTATTCCTGTCGTCCCGCCACTTTGCGTTCATAACAGAGAATACTCTTTCTGTAAATGCTGAAGTGGCCGGAACGGACAGCAAAAGTGACACTACTTTGAACAGATTTGGGAAATCAGGTTGTTCCGTAAATATGGCTTGCCATTTTTCTGTGCAATATTATTGATGTAAAAATACTCTGAATTTCGAATAATCGCTTACAAAATTACGATGTTTACTTAAGGCCTTAAATAAAGTATTTTTGCGTACTTTATGTGTCTTGTAAGATATAACGTACGCACAGTCGAAATAGAGTACAATACTTTATAATAAAGTACGGGTGGCAACCCTAATCAGAGTACTTAAAATTTCTATTGAAAATATGAAACAATTAAATAAAGAACAACATTTCACTTCAGTACCTATCTTTCAATCTACTTAAATAGTTCGATGTCAACTTAATTGTTTCATTAATATGTTAAAACTTTATAATTGTTTTAATATAGGTACATCAAATTGAAATAATTCATTAATAATAGCCTTTTATAGATGCGTCTTTCAAGATAATATTCCTTCAATTGTCCTGCGCCTTATAAATCATCCATCATCCTCAGACGGTTAAGTGGCTAACGCGATAAGTATGTAATTCTTAATATTGACGCCTTAACACGCCATTACCTGTGTAACTATTATTAGGCAACGCAGAGAGAAGAATGAATCCGAAGGCTGATCGTGAGAGAGGAGGTTTGAATAATGGCACGTCGGTTAAAACAAGAAACTGCACTCCAATTGACAACGGACGGGAGCCAACGTATCAATTGCTTTGATTGGTACGAACGCTTACGGGCCGCGATTTTTTAAATCAACTTCGAAATTATCTTTCCTCGTCCCTCCGACAGACTCGTCGAAGACAAATACGACGACATCAAAGTAAACTGGTGTTATTAGATTGTTCATTTTTCTTCGGAACTCCTAATTATGGTGTCTGTGAGGCAATTAAGTAATTTGCGGTTTCCAGGAAAAATCAGCAGTGACACTTGAAGTTTTAGAGTTTCAATAAAATAATTATTAATTGTATGATAACATTTGAAAATAAGACATTGTTTTTTAAATTACTAATACTGGTCAATGTTAATATGCAACATCAACTTGAAATCACCTTTCGATTTCGTTGTCATCTCTCGTAGCTTAGTTGGTCAGAGCATTCATGCGTAAAGCCAAAGGTCCCGGTTTCGATTCCCAGCGGGGGTGACAACAGCAACAAAAATATTAGTCCAGTCGGTAGAGAATTTTCCCGACATAAATTTGTTACCGGACGGGAGTTGTTCCTAGCTGTAGACGAGGAAATGTTAAGCATCACTGTATATTTTTAAACTTCGTTGTGTGCGTTAACAAATGGGGAAGGTCCAAAGTTGGTAAAAACCAGGTTTTTAGATCTAGAAGGCACGTTATGTCTTTTAGGAAGAAAGGTTTCAAATTTGAACCGCGGTACGATCAATTGTGTCAATTGGTTATTGCACAAATCCCAAAAAGTCGTCAAAAATTGCCATTTCTTGTATATTGTTTTTTTATTGCAAAAATGACTTTTTTCGTGATTTTTTCACATTGAAATGAAGGTTTTTAAAAATGGAATTAGTCAATTTGTTAATGAGATATTATTAATTGTTTATCCCAACAGACATAAAGAGTTATTGCCGTAACTTTTTTTTCGGTAAACATTTTTAGGTACACATAGGTTCAATCTCTTCGTAAAGGTAGAGTTCTTCATATCCCATTAGGAGCAAATCTAAAAATTCATTTTTGTCCCCTTATTTATTACTGTAAACAAGGGGGTCATTTTTATTTATAAACGATTACAGCTGGAGCGACTCCTACGTAATGTATGAATTTTTAACCGACGAATATGAACGAGTGACTTCGAAACGAACATTAAAAGAGCAAAACGAATCTCCTAAGACCAATAGGAAGCGAGTTAACACTTTTTTTTTTAAACGTAACAGATTAATTGTTTTTAACTATTAAGAAATGAATTTTGCGTCATTCGATAAACAAATCTTTATATTTTGTATTATTGTTTTTAAAAAAGTACTAACTTTTTTTGTTATTGCTAAAAGACCCGTCTAAAGTGATCAGTAATTTCGGACGACGCAACGTAGTTAGCGGTGTAAATAAAACATTCCAGACTGACGCGCCGTCTCAATCGGAGAATGCGGAGAAAATAGTCGTTTCTTTGACAATTTTTATCGGATTGAGTTGTTTTTCTTTTTAATCTGGGATAACACCAAAAATTATGGACAGTGATTTTTCTTCTAATAGCAACATATACGGTCCAGTCGGTAAAGAACGTTCCCGATATTTTGTTATCAGATGGGAGTTCTTCCTTGTTATAGGCGAGGAAAAGTTAAGCATCCCTGTATATTTTTAAACTTCGAAAAAGTGTGCGTTAACAAATGGGGGAGGTCCAAAGTTGGTAAAAACCAGGTTTTTAGATCTAGAAGGCACGTTATGCCTCTTAGGAAGAAAGGTTTCAAATAACAATTGTAGAGAAATTAAAAACCTTCAATTTGAACCGCGGTACGATCAATTTTGTCAATTGGTTATTGCACAAATCCCAAAAAGTCGTCAAAAATTGCCATTTCTTGTATATTGTTTTTTTATTGCAAAAATGACTTTTTTCGTGATTTTTTCACATTGAAATGAAGGTTTTTAAATTTGGAATCGAACTGGTTGTTGTGGGCGTCAATTGGTCAATTTGTTAATGAGATATTATTAATTGTTTANAAGTTTTGCAGTTATATTTCGACACTTATCGATATACTCGATAATTAATAATTGAAATTAAAGCTTTTGGCACCAAACATTAAAAAATACAGTTTAAAATAGACAAACAGATTTAACATAACATTTCGTTTGTTCCACTAATATTAATTTCCGAATTTTAGTTTCTCAATGTAATCAAATTATAACAAAATGTTTACCTTTAATTACCACTGGCTCGCATCTAGGTAATTCACGAAGAAATACTAATACTAATCGTTTGCAGAATTCTAGTCCATATTTTGATAAGGCTTCAATACTGGATAAATAAATTAGATGAATAACTAGTTAATTTTATGACCTGTAATTTGCCTCGTCTTTCGGAAATTATGAACATACTCAGTCTTTCAAGCATCATCATGTTGAAATCTATCATTTATTCAAGTAGTAAGGGTGTCCCCTTTTCCATACTTGTAACATAGCTACCCATTTGTTTTTTCTTGTACAACAACTTTGTACTAACTAATTTTGCACTTACCCGTCTGTTGATATTGTTCCACGTCCCCTATCGTGCCATCAATTCGTCGATAAGTTGTTTTAGACGTCATGTCCCGCACCGCGACGCGACTAAGGGCAAAATAAATCCGACACCATCGATTCCATTACGTTATTTTCAATTTCATTGCCTCGCGGTCGTATTTCAGAAATTTAAAAATATGAACCCGCGCGTCCCGAAATCGAGTAGGGTATCGGATTTAAGCCTTCATAAATCTACTCTGACTGCAACACTCCAAGGACGCCACCGCACAACTCGCCCTGACACTACCCTTGTCTTTTCACGCTCCGAAATCAATTTTCGAAATGCAAATTTGGACCACAACCGAACAAACGTTTCAAACAGAAATTGTCAACTCCACCATCGTGATCACATGCCCTAAAAACACTATTTCAATGTCCAATAGACAAATGACACATTAAGTTCTTTACGTATTTTCAGTTAAAAAATATACCAATACTTTTTAAAGTGTAAATATATCTGTTTGCAATCGTTCTGAGTGACTGTAAATACACTTGCACTACCATAACCTGAATGTTTTGAACACGTAAATCAATGGAAGTTTCCGACTATGAGTAATACACAATCTTTATTACCAAACAAATTTTCTTGTGCACAAAACTGTATGTTTTTGTCAATTAAACATCTATCGATTCTTTAATGTAATGGTCCACACACGTAAAACGCGAAACACATTAATTTTGTATCATCGTTATTGAATAAACATTCAGCAGTCCACCGCTTGAGAATAAGCACTAGTTAATACTGACAACAACAAGCAAACAAATAAGATAACAAATAAAGCATAGCAAAGGCAATAAGTCGCCATCTACAATAACACGAGGGCACCTAATTGTACAGTTCGAAAGTTGAATAAGTCAAAGGTTTTCAGGATTTCTATATATGTACACTTGTAGCTCACGCGTATTATTATACGAGGAGCATCAAAATTGACTGATAATAATTATACAATAAATTAGATACAAACAAAGGTGTGTATATAAATTACCTTGATAATTTCTTTTACTTATTAGTGTTGTTATGATTACCAAGCCCTTCTGTTCATTTTAGGGTTGAATTAACCTAAACCCCTTTCCATTTATCAGTAAATAGTCGTTTAAATCCTTCCAAAAATTTGCAAACTTCGGCATACTTTTGTACAAAGGACAACCCTATTTTGCATATACCTTAGAGGTAATGGTTTTATGGTAATTTAGTTACTGTGGTGCCTTTGGTCTTTTATATTGCAAAAGTTGTATGGCGCAAAGTGAAACAGACATTGAATCTATTCACCGAACTTGTCCAAGGATTTGCGTGAACAGGAATGAGTTTGATATATTGACGCAATATTCCCTTTTCAACCAAAGCTCGACTCAGCTGCCATAAAGTCATTTACAGTGGCCAAAAGATAATAGACAGCAAATTTGCTCTGGATTTTCGGATACAGTTCGCATCTTCAGTTCTAAATTAACGAAGCTCAAGTTAAGATGTGGTTAGTTAAGTTTATCGACTTACAAGAGCCCCACATGAATCCAGGTGATTAGATATATATGTTAGGGAAGGTTGGAGAAAGTGATGTTTTTTTACCATCAGAATGCTTCAGTGTATTTAGACCCTCATACAAATATACCAGACAGGCACCAATATATCACATTGGAAAAGGACCATGTTATAGGTAATACAAATTTTTCTAAATGCAATAAGCAAAACTGAAGATTTATACATAGAGTAGAACCTCGATAACTCTGGCATCAAGGGAGACGCTAAAAAATATAAGTTTATATGTAAGTTAACGGGGTTTTCGACTTATGGAGGATTTTGACCTAGACGGATTTCAATTCGCCTTGTAGAGGTTAAGATTTGGTTTATTTAAATTGTCAGCAAATCCTGAAAGTCGAAATTTTATTTTTCTTCGAACTACAGACGTAATAAGTTTCAAATTATCGAGTTGTAAAAGTTGTAGAATAAAACATTGCTATGTTCGAAATACAGAGGTTCAATTTAATTTTTCGAGTTACAATGAGAAAATGTGTAGCAAAATGACTTGCAGAGACTTACTGATATTATTCCGACTAATAGAGGGTTAAGATTTGATAAGTAATGGAGGTTTTACGGTTTAAAAGAAGGGAACAAAACATTTTTTAGAGTTTTGGAGGTTTTTGACTTATCGAAGTTCTACTGTATATGTAGTTTATTATTCAGCTGGTAGAAAATGGAACTGATTAGAATAGAATAGAAAATCGTACCCTTCTTACGGTAAATTACATGATGTGATTAAGTAAATATGGATCAAACTGTCTTTGATCTATACCCATATGTACAGCGATATCAATCTTTTTAACCCTCATATTTACTCGTAGGGTAAATGTTGTGTAGTCAATGTTGCAGATTGGGAAAAACGGAAAATATTTAAAGCAATAATTTTCAAAATAAATAGAAATAAGAAGTAACAATACAAAAAGGCAGTAAAACAGTGATAATAAATCACATTTGAGCATTGTGGAACCAAGTATGACATGACAAAATCCATAACGTTAAGTTTCCATCTATAGAATAGCAAGATCGAAACACATTTGAAGTTGTAGAATTGTAACAAGAAGATAAAGAAAATAAAACCATAAAACTATTTTAATTATTATCTATATTAATTTTCAAATTTTGGAGAGAAAGTCGAGTACCTATTCGACGATAAGTTTTTCTTCATTCGGTACAAAGTAATTTGTTTAGTTTCATATACTGTTAGATAAAAACTATCGATATCTACAAAGTAGGAAGAGAAGACTGTGGTANTTTTCATAATGATTTGTTTTTTCATTTTGTCATTATTGATATCGCACCTATCTACTGTTGAATATCATCTTTTATTGAAAATATTTATCATGATATCCTACAATAGATGTCTCAAAAATTCCCCCAAACTGCATCCATTGCTTCACAAAGCCTTAAAACAAACTGATCATCAGTCATCGCAACAAGCAACGTGGCCGATTTTTCCCACCCACCATTGTATACTATCACCACATTAATCATACATTGGGGTTCAGAAATATACACACACACTCGTATACAATACACACACATATATACACAGGACCCTACTGCACTTTTTCACAGAATTTATTCCAAAATAAACTTTTGTCCGCCCGTATCATCGTGAACGATGACCTGCTTGACGTTTCAAAGGTCGAAGAAAAATTAAGCAGATGAAAAATATTTGTCCCTGATAGCACGTGGTGGTTGTTGAAATTTTAGGCGTTTCCTGGGTACAATCACCAAAAAGAAAAACGAAGCAATTCCTACAGAAAGTGCTCATTATGTGCTTACAATAACCAGTCAAATAATTAATTGTTTTGTTATCTGCTTCATGGAATTTACATTCCCAAATATTACAATAGATTTTAATACAAAGCGTTGGTATTTTTCCAATGTTCATTAATAAATGTACTTGCGACAACTGTTTTGTAAAATTGGAGCTTCTTCAAACCCAACGTAACGCAGATAACTTAATTTTTATACATATTTATTTTGAAATCCAACTTATTTATGGTAATGGTACCTACAATTAAGGAATAAAATAAGTATATTAGGTAATAATAAGTTTTATCTTGCATTTATTTGGTTTATGTTACTTTATTATTAACAAATATGACTGAAGATATTTGTATGTACGAATTTTCTTTTCTATACAACGTCACTTTTTCAAAAGATGATTCCCTGATATAACGACTTCATGTAATATAATATTTGTATGCTCGGTTCTCAAGTTACATCTATATTAATTTTCAAATTTTGGAGAGAAAGTCGAGTACCTATTCGACGATAAGTTTTTCTTCATTCGGTACAAAGTAATTTGTTTAGTTTCATATACTGTTAGATAAAAACTATCGATATCTACAAAGTAGGAAGAGAAGACTGTGGTAAATATTAATTAAAAATTAAAAGGAATACTCACCCCTAATTACCACAAATAATTTTATTTGAGCGGACACGTGTTTCGCCCACTTCATACGTGGGCATTATCAACGCGAGACTGACAGTCTTCTTTTTCCCTTCTATTAATAATTAAATGCCTATCTATTATCAATATGGTAAATAAAAACATTAAATCGATATTTGAATATCATAAATACTAATTCTAGAAGAACAGACAACTTGTACATGTTTACAGATATCTCCTTTAGCTCCTTTAATTTTCCTTTTTCTACTTAATAATACGTATGATGTTTTCTATGAATAAAATTGTCCAAGAATTATACAGCGATTATAATAATTGGAATAGCTTCGAATATACCATGTCGGATCAATTAAATTAAAGACGTCAAATTGCAAGCATTTTAACTGTAAACACCTTTTACAAACTAACAATAAGTAATTAACCGTTTTCACCATTACATAGATTACTATAATCAAGCAGTAGCCAGATAATTGTGTAATTTAACCACGACTTAAGCACATAAGCCTGGATAGCGATTCGTCCTAATTATCCTTGTTGCCCATTTCCGTTTTATTAAATTCTTCATTACCTATGCGACCGCGTAAACTATGAAGAAGTATTTGAAAGTGTTTCGCATACGTTCAAAAAATATTAATTACAGTTTATATTTTATACATGCACAGATTTCTTTATGCACTTGTTGCCTAATCATTCAAGTTTTTCTAATATACATATACGTATTTTGCATGTAGTTACTAATAGGTTTTTTGCGTGAAAATTGTATCATCCTAAAGCGTCAAGAAATGCACACAATGCATCCTTATACCTTGAAGTTTTATTTATTCTTGATTAAAGAGCAAACAGAGCGCTGGATACTAGCCGACGGACAGATATAAAAAATGAATACCTGCATACATCCAAACCAATGATGTTATAAAAATTATTAGAAAAACAAATTTAATTTAAAGTTATTACACCTACCTAGAAATTCCGATAATAAAAAGTATTTCTGGAAAATATGTTTGTAAAAATAATGAAATAGTTCTTAAAAAAACTGACGAAAGGCTTTTCACTTCTATTAAAGCAAAATTTAAAACCCATATTTATTATTATTTTATCGATATAACTGAAATTCTAAGAAATATTACAATTACCTCTTTGTTTCCGATAATTCTTTGCGAGTTGATTGACAGACAAGAAAATAAGATATGTAATTTATAACAAACCTACTTAAAACGAGTTTTTTAAAAATCTCTACTAATTTTAACTAATACAATCTGATTTTTATCAACATATTTAATTTGAAAAGTTTGAATAATATGAATCATTACTAAAGATTAATGGAAAAACTGTTTCACCTAATACATCATCAATGTTGGTATTTCAAATATTATTTTTAAGGAATTACTTTTTGTTATACATCTTACAGCAGACTTCATTTCTGTTTTTCACCATAAATGTATCGAATTTACTTTGTAAGAACAACTATATTGAATCTCAAAGAAGTTTTAATTCTTGAAACTATAGTTTTGCACATTGCGATATTCTTCTCTCACCTGAAAAAGCTGCAGTATGGTGAAATAGTCACATACAGTGCTCAATTAGATTATTTATAAAACTAAATTTGTGTGTTTATAATTTCAAATTTAATAAACAGTACACACTAACTTTATTTTTGTATTTTCCAGTAACAATAGTATATTTTCCTTAAAATAATATTATTGTTGTTTGTTTTAAATATTTATACTATCTTTTTTTAATGTGGATTTTATGAAAGTGGAAAAAAATCATTTGCGAGTACGTAGACATTACACAAACACATAGTAAATTACTTTAAGGAATTGCTTCTA